CGGGGCTGCCGACAAAGGGCTTTGATGTCGGCAGGGGAGCGTCCAGACTAGCGTGCGAGTGGACAAACAGCTGATCAGCTGTTTGTCGGCTCAGCGCGGCAGTCATGTAAATGTAAATGAAGCCGCGATCATTTAAATCGCGGCTTCATTTGCCTTTGCCTATGTGTCTAATCTACATGCCTATGATGACAGAGGCATGTAGTCTAGACACAGCCTTAGAGTGCAGCTACCGACTGGGACTAGATGCCTTTGGAACTGGTAGGCACAGCATGAGACTCTGCAGTTCTTCAAGCGCGCTCACGCAAGCAAGAGTCTGGGACTCTGAGTCCAGGGGTGTGCACACTCTGGGGTGTGGTCAATATTGACAGTGCAAATGCTAGATAGATATGTTCCAATTATTGTTGTGTACTTTGTTCGTGCTATTCATTGTTAATCTGTTAACCCCTGTTTATTTAAGTTAAGTAAAGATTGTTTATTTGAATACAATCTATTAGATGTCTATGATTAGTAGTTGTTCTGGAATTAGATCCAGATTATTTCTGGAATGAGTTTATTCTTGGAGGCTCCCAAGGCACACCAGTAAGTGTGTACAAGGCCAGTCAGGTGGAGGCACCGCCATTGTATGTTCTTTGCAAGCAAGGGACAGCAGCAAGGGGGTGGGTAGGTTTTCCCCAACCAAACAACATCACCACTGGGGTACTCAGGGTCTCCTTTTATGTCAAGACCATCAGGTGCCCAAGCACACCTGTGAGTGTAACCTGCTCCCGAGTAACCCAGGGAGGAAAAAGGGGGTTACAATATTAAGTGGAACCTAGTAGAGGAATATATCCCAATAATAAAAGAGATTAGCATTATTATTGGTGTTGCTGTAGTTTTTGAGGGGAAGTTGCTGAGATGAATTTTGTTAAAACATGGGGCTATGTGATGGCAGAAAAAGGAGCGTGAAAGCAAGTAAAATAAGGGGCGAATTTCAAAATTCATATGCAGTGATTCCCAAGGAGAATAAAAAGGATTGCTCTCAGAGGGCACATCTACACTACACCAAAGGTGGATGCTGCCTTCGGTCTAGTATAGACCCGCTAGATCAAACTCAAAGGCTACATCTAGACTGGCATGATTTTCCGGAAATGCTTTTAACGGAAAAGTTTTCCGTTAAAAGCATTTGCGGAAAAGAGCATCTAGATCAGCAGGACGCTTTTCCTCAAAAGCACTTTTCACGGAAAATCATCCGTGGCCAATCATTTTCGCGATCGGAGATTTTTTGCGCAAAACAAATCTCAGCTGTCTACACTGGCCCTTTTGCGCAAAAGTTTTGCGCAAAAGGGACTTTTGCCCGAACGGGAGCAGCATAGTATTTCCGCAAAAAGCACTGATTTCTTACAGTAGGAAGTCAGTGCTTTTGCGGAAATTCAAGCGGCCAATGTAGACAGCTGGCAAGTTTTTCCGGAAAAGCGGCTGATTTCCGGAAAACCTTGCCAGTCTAGACACAGCCAAAAGGTGTCTCTGTCAGCACAGGTACTCCTACTCCTTGCGAGGAGTAAGGGAAGCCGATGGGAGCATTTGCGTTGTGTGGACAGGGATTTAAGATACGTCGACTCCAGCGACATAATTTACATAGCTGGAGCTGAGTGTCTGACTTTGAGCTTCCCATGTCGTGTAGACCACGCCAGGAAGCGTGTATATGGCCACTGAAATCGCCACGCAAGGCTTTTCTCAGATTCTCCTGGTCCAGACGAGAGAGGCGTGCTCTCCAGCCTTCTTCTATGTCAGTGGGATGAGTCTCTTTGGCCCATCCCACAAGTTGTGTCTGGATGTGTTAGTTTGGGAACTCAGAGGAGTCCAGGAGGAGGCAAGAAAGTAGCTGGTTAGTTCAGCCTTGGCTACCAGGGTAACAATAGGTCCAAGCGTGTCCAGAGGAAGGGGCAAACCAAGGAACCCCATGTTAGCTCACACAAAGCACGAGCTGTACAACTACCAAGATCAAGTGCTCTGTTTAAGAACTGACTCGTGTCCCCTTTTAAGACGACATGGCAGAGCAGCTCTTCCTGAGCACCCGACGCCAACAACTGCTTCAGTCCTACAGTGCCCCTCCTCTACAGCCCTGCAACCCTCACACCCTCCTCTCAGGCTTTTAACCATCCACCGCCCTTATATCAGGAGCCTCATCTCACCTTCCCTCTGTGGCTGGTAGGGGGAACCAGGCCCTCCCGTGATACTGGGTTACTACAGCCAGGAGCTACTCCATCAGACGCCTTCCTGCTGCCTCCCTGGACATCTCCCTCCCCTACCCATCAGAGGTCCCTCCCAGCGAGCTGAAAGGTTCATCTTTCTTTTGGGGCCAGGGGTGCTGCCTCCCTGGACATCTCCCTCCCCTACCCATCAGAGGTCCCTCCCAGCGAGCTGCAAGGTTCATCTTTCTATCGGGGCCTGGGAAGGACCCCAAGGATCAGTTAACTCTCCCTGGGCTTTCACCTTGCTCCTCCCAGTGGCCCCTGGCTCTCTTGCCAAGTGAGGAACTCAGAGTCCCTCCCTCTGTCCCTGCAACAGCCTTCTGCTCTGAGCGTCCTCTTTATATAGCACCACCCACCTTCTCCTCAGCTGGGCGTCCTCCTTCATCCAGCCTGGCCCTGCCCCTTGCACCGAGCAGGTGGGTTAACTGGGCTCCAGCGCTTGTTAACCAATGTGGGGTTTATACGCCCCCTTCCTGCTCTCCAGTCAACAGCCTCATCCCTGCTATTTGAAATGTCCCCCGCACCAGCACCATACCCAGCCTCCCGCGCTGTTCTGCTGATGTCCAGCCGCCTGGCACAGGACTCACAGGGCTGCCACCGTAGGCTGTGATCTGGGATGGAAGTCACCAGGGCAGAGGGCGAGGCAGGAAGATGGCCCCAGAGAGACCTTTTAGCCTCTCCGTCCTCTTTGGCCTCCTCTCTCCTCCCTTGGCGAAACAAGAAGAACGGGCTTGATGCAGCGCTGCACTACTCTGGTGTGACTCTTGGGTATCAGCGGTGCTACAGGGAAGTAAGCTGGAGTGCAGACGATCTGTTTTGTGGGGCAAGGAAACCACTAGAGGCTGAACCTCTCTAGTCTGGCACCCTCAGGACCTCACTCTTGCTGAAGTAGAGAATTTGCCGGACCACGGGAGGTCAATATTGTCTAGTGGCATCCCCAACCCTTCCACTGGGCAGTTAGAAGACATTTAGGGGCAAATTAGAGCTAAATAACAGCACAGAACACAGAGCTGTAGACACACTTCATGGGACTGTGGGAAACTTGGCCGTGCCCGGGATACGTGGACATCTGGCTAATTCAAACTGCGGCAGACTCCGGAGGTTGCTGAACCAGAGAGTGCCGGACGAGAGAGGTTCAACCTGTAGTTCTAAATGAATCGTTCTCATCTCTGCCAGCAGCACCGCGGCGCCAGCCCTCTGCATTTCAACCAAGGTATCTTTGTTCCTCCCGCAGGAAAAGGACAATGAAGATTTACATGTGAGAATTCTCA